TCTTTGCCAGAGGCGGAATTGCCCCGCCCTTGTGGGTCCAGGCTAAGCAACCTGCTCAGGTTTGCTCTTGGGAGCTTTTGTTCCCTGCAAGCTCTCGGTACAGCTTTGGAGGATGAGAGGGAAAATGATGGCCTCCCAATCTCCACCCGGAGGAGCTGAGAACTTGGGGCCCCGCTCCTCAGTGCGCCCCCAGAGAAAAGCAGCCACTCCCATGTCCCCGGTCTCCGGCCGCACTCCGTGCTCACCCGGCCCGTGACCAAGCGTTTCTATCTCTGGCACCCGACCCCGTGCGGAGTCTCCAAACCCAGCAGATCCCTGCGGTGCGCTCCCACGCCGCTCCTCCCGGGGGAAGAAGGGGAGTCTCCCCGGCTCTGCCGCTTGTTGGGTCCCTGCTGGAGGAGCAGTGGCCCGACTGGGCCGCCAGATCACAGTTTATGGCCACCCCGAGCTGAGAGCCCGCACCTCGGCTCCGTCTCTGCAGCCGGCTTCCCCGCTCCGATACCCGGGAGCTCTGCCGCACTCAGGCACCCCCGGTCTTTCTGTGACCCCGAGGGTCCTGAGACCACACTGTCCTGCGAGGGTTCCACCTCCCGCTTAGCCGCTGGAGCGACGTCCCTCAGCGGAGCCGACTTCTAAAAGGTCCGATTTTGTGCTCCGCGGCTCCAGCACTTGCCAGAAGCGGCCGACGGAGGCCCCCTCCCCCGCCGTCTCTCCTCCCGAATATCGCCTCGGATTCACTTCTCCGCACGTCCTACCTTCCAGTAAGTGGTCGCTTCTCTGTTCAGAGAGTTGTTGCTACTCTCTTCTTTGATCTCCTGTTGAGTTCGTAGGTGTTCAGAATGGTTTGATCCCCATTCAGCTGAATTCCTGAGACCAGACGAAATCCAGGCCCCCACTCCTCCGCCATCTTACTCCGCCTAAACTTTTCTTTTATTAAAAGAATTTGTGTTTTTTATTGCTTGTTAGTTTCATCCATCAATCATAGCTAAAGGTTTTTTGTTTTTTGCTTTTTTTTAAGTAGGCTCCATGTTGGTTGAGTTCAATGCAGGGCTTGAACTCACAACCCTGAGATCAAGACCTGAACTGGGATCAAAAGTCAGATGCTCAACCCACTGAGCCACCCAGGTGCCCCCAATCATAGTTAAAGTTTTGATGACTACAAAAGCACCAAGAAAAAAAAACACGTTCCTAGAATGTATGATCTGATCTCATTTATGTGTATTATGCTTCATTTCACAGGCATGAAAAAGTTAAAAGAAAACCAAATATGTATATTTATTTATTTATTTTGTAGGGATGATCAAGATAAACTGTCAAGGGGAACATAATTTGTATAGTATATAAGGTTATTTAAGAAAAATTAAATCATAGGGGCTCCTGGGTGGCTCAGTCGGTTTAGCATCCAACTCTTGATTTTGGCTCAGGTCATGATCTCAGGATCGTGAGATCGAGCCCCTCAGTGGGGCTATCCATTCAGTTGGGAGTCTACTTGGGATTCTCTATCTCTCCCTCTCTCTCTCTTTCCCTCCCCCAACTCATGCGCTCACTCTCTCTCTCTCTCAAATAAAGAAACAAATAAAAAAAGAAGAAAGGAAAAATTAAATCAGTAAAGTCCTTATTTAAGTTTATATACACTAGCGTATATTTGTCCTAGGAAGGAGGAAGTTGTAAAATGTATCTCTGATTATTTAGGATGAAGCTATAGAGGAAGAACAGGAAGAAGATAATTACCTTTGTCTTAGTCCATTTTTCTTTCTAAATTTGAAATACTCCTCACCTCCTACACAATATATAGGTAATCCAAAAAGAAAGAGAAATTCACCAGTTAGAAGAGAAAAGAGAATTTACAGGCAGAGCAAGGAAGAGCCAATGCTATGGGGACTTACCAGGTTTCAGACCAAATCTAGGCCTCACAGTTGAGGCTGGCTTTTCAGTGCCCATATGATAGAGATGACACAGGACTTATGATGACATGTCCTGCATTCATCCTGGAGCACCCAAATGGTCACAGATTTTATAGACTAAACGTTATTACAACACAAAGACCTTGAAATGCAGTTAGAAAACTGAATATTTGGTCAGGCCTTTAAGTGCTAGATAAAAGGGAAAAGTTAACAGATAGAATCTGAAATTCCAGACTGAGTCTTATATGTTTGTGGAATAAAATATTACCCTTCCTGTGTGAAATGGAAACCATATGCTCAGAAACTGACAAAAAGGTCTATAACCATTGAAACTCTTGGGGACCCAGCAGGAAGAAATTCATTATGGCCCTGAGAGTGGACTTCTGCTTTTACCCAAGATGGATTAACATGAGTTAATTTAACCTCCTGCTTGAAACACTTAAAACAAATAAACATAATATATGAAACAACAGTTTTCAAAACATTATGAATCAGGCAACAAGAGATGGCGATCCCTAAGAGATGGGAAACAACCAGGCTGAGCACCATCTACCTCAATACCTGGAGGGGGAGCCACGATGTGGCCTAGGAGGGGAAACCCAGAAGGAGCCTGGTAGGCTCCCTGAGTTCAGAGTCTGAGTTGAAAATACAGGGACTGTAGGAGAGATGCTTCTAGACACTTTTCTGTTGGCCACAAGGAGGCATTATGGTGTCACCAATAACGGAGAGCTGTAGAGAATGTCCTTGATCCTCCCTGAAGTGTGGATATAGAGGAATTGCAGGGCTTGACTTCTGTATTAAGGTGGGGATAGTTTGCAGCCATCAGTCATCCATCTGTGATGCAGACAGCAAGACACAAAGACATCTCAACAGGTTTATAAATGATAGTTTAGCAAAAGCTCTTCCTGTGTTGCGGAACCTCTGACTTGCCTTGTAGGGTGTAAGAAATGAGGAGTGAGACAGAGAGGTCCGGATGAGCCTGGGGCAGATATAGGAAGGGGGGCGATATGAGGCGGCACCACCTCTACTCCACACGTGATCTGGCCAAGCCCCGGTTCTGCTGCCAAGCCAGAAGCTGTGTGTAATATCACAACAAGGAGTGACCCTTGCCTTGGTGAAGCCAACAGCAGACGGTCATCATAGGCAGATCTACCTGTCAGGGACCAGGGGCTCTGCACGCCCATCTCTCCACCCAGAGATCAGAGTCTGGGGCAGACAGATGCCCCGTTCCTGTTGTGGTCCTGCCATGGCTCCCGGGCTGCTCCACTGTGTGGCCTTTTGTCTCCTTGGAGCAGGTGAGTCCTGGTCAGAAAGGAAGTATTTTGACTAAAGCTATCTTGTCCTCAGTTTTGTACCTTTCTTTTATGGCAGCAATAGCAGTGTCCTTCTTGACTCTGTCTCTACGTTTTCTTTCTCTCTCTGCAGGTCACATGGGTGCCATGGTCATCCAGAGCCCAAGATACCAGGTTACGTGGGTGGGAAGACCAGTGAATTTGAGCTGTTCTCAGGATCTGAACCATTACAGCATGTATTGGTACCAACAGAAGCTGAGCCAAGCCCCAAAGTTGCTGCTTTACTACTACGGTACAGACCTTAACAGAGAAGCAGACACCTCTGATAACTTCCAATCCAGCCGGCCCAACACTTCTTTCTGTTCTCTCAGCATCCTCTTGCCAAGCCCCGGGGACTCAGCCTTGTATCTCTGCGCCAGCAGTAAAGACACAGAACTGCACTTTTACCTCTCCCCTGTGCATAAACCTCTCTGTTTCCTGGATCCAAGAGCCTCCTTTAGACCATCCCACCTGCCCATCCTACGACAATAGTAAGAAGCGGGTTTACGGCTCTCATTACCTCGTTTGTAGACAGAAGCTGGGCAGAAACCTACCAAAACCACTGACAGTTAGGCCAAGAGCGGAAAAATGGTTACACTCACTCAGCGTTCGATTTGTGGTATTTTCCCAGGATCACCTTCGTCACCCGTTCTGTTCTCTTCAGTACATAAATAGGAACTTTTTAAAAATTGTTTTGTTTTTTAACATAATTGGTGACCTAGAAATATGAAAACGGGCAGGCCCGTCCAGACAAGGGGTGGCCCCACTCTCGTGAATCTTTGCTGCAGTCTCATGGTTTTCTTGTCAAGTAGGGAAAATTAGAACTGCTAAAAACTTGTGCCAGATGTGAAGCTGAATGAACTGCCTGGCACATGTATTATTCACAGGGTATTTAACTATGTTGCATGATATAAATTTGCGTATGAACCATCTAAGTGGCACACAGATAGGACACATACCCAAAAGTAGATGTGGTGCTTTAAAAGAAATATTAAAATGAATAGAATTTGCCCTACATTTTTTTTAATAGTAATAAAAAAAATATCAAGTACTGCAGCTTGTTTGAAATAAAAGGGGTTTCTGGAATGTATTAGAACAGCTTTCTAAAAGCTAGTATGTATCTTACGGCCTTTGACTGAAATATTTATGATGGCCAGTTGAATAAACACATGTATCATCATTTCAGGAAAGAACAAGCCTCTGCTAGCTATGGGATGCCTGCTTCAGAGGATGGAACTGTGTCCTCGTCTTAATTCTGAAGAACACCCAGAGATTCCTACTAAGCAGTGGCTCATCAGATCACCTCGTATGGTCATCAACAGCATCACATGCTTCCAACTCTTTAATCAAGAGGCCAAGAAATACTACCCAAGATCACATTTGGTAACTAAGTAAAATTCAGAGAAGCTAAACACTGTCATCTGGGCCACCCGCCATCACTACAGTGGTCTGCTCACCATATGTCCACACCCCTTTCCTTACAAATGATGAAGGCTGTGTCTCTATGCTTCTGCCTATGTTTCAAATGAGATGTTGGGGCTAATGTCTCTGGGTCCCCTCCCCTCATTCGTGACTCCATGACAAGGTTTAAGAAATTGTTGCATCTTGAGCTAAATGGCAAAAGAGTTCAACCAGGGGGCAGATTAGAGATTCTTTAGATGATGTGAACACTCGACATCCTCTCGAAGAAAGGGAGGAGAGAAATGAAGAGCAAAGACCCACCTCATTCTGGCCCAGATAAAACATGCAGCCCGGGGCTGAAGATGCAGCTGTTCTATGCTCTGGTCGGATCCTTATGCCCAGAAGAGGGAGGAGGAGGTGGAAGAGAGTATGATTTGCTCTCGCCAAGCAGAACAGTATAGAATTGCCTCGTTCTCTAGCAAGTATGGTCACTAGAAGTGTGAAGACACACCTAGGGAAGGAGGGAAATTAAAATCGTGGGAGAATCTGATAGAAAAAGCTGGAAAATAAACCCAAGACCATAGTGTTGGATGCTCTGAGAGTTTGAAGAGAGTTGGGGACAAGAGTGAGTGGTGTCTGTATTTTATTATTTTATTTTATTTTACTTTATTTTATTTTATTTTACTTTATTGTGGCCAGAACCCTTAACATGAGATCTACCCTCTTAAAATTTTGCATAATATGGTATATACATACAATGGTATGTTATTTAGTCTTGAAAGAGAAGGAAATCCTGCAACACGTGGTGACATGGATGACCTTGAGGACATTCTGCTGCGTGACCTAAGCCAGTCACAGAAGGACAGGTGCTGTACACTGCCACTTAGACGGGAAGGCGTGGCTTCCTTCTGGGCTGATGTCTCGTCCCAGTTGCTGTCTCCTCTGATCTCTCCCATTTATGCTCAGGGCTTTCATTTCCCAGCAGCCAAATGAGGACGTCTTATAAGAGCAGAACCTCTGTGAAGATCCAGGGCCATCAGATGGATTTATAGGCACCAACTATCTTCTGGAACTGACAGTTTCTTCAGTAGAGCTTACTATGGGCTGTGACCCCTCTCGAAGCCCCAAACCCACCTAAGAAAGAAGCATTACTTCAGGCCCTCCAAGAAGTAGATGCCAAGCCTGGATCTGTCATGCAGGGCATTTAGCTGAGAAAATGGGGAGAAAGCTGGAGGAGGCTGGGAGGCCATCAGGCCGTGATGCAGGTCTGACCTCTGTAAGGAGAGATGGAAGGAAGAGGGAGGAAAGGAAGAAAAATGGAGGAAGGAGGATGGGTAGGAAGAAAAGTAGGTCGTGGGGTGCAGTACAATTCCAAGCAAATCTCAGCAAGGCTGGTGGGTCCTTAGGTCAAAACAGAGCTACGCAGTTCCCTATCCCTGGGGCCTGCTTCCCCCCATGGGCAGAACCTCTGCACCACGGCTCCAGAGCTGAGGGTGGGGACACTGGCCCACTCCTCTTGGAGGGAGACCCCTGTTCTCTGAGGGTCCCTGGGTGGAGTGGTAAGCCCTGGTCTTTCCGACTTGCGGCTCCCAGTGTGGAACCTTCAGGCTATGAGCAAACCAGAATGAGAAAGATTGAGGCTTAGGAGTCTTGGCCTGCTGTTTCGGGAACAGAGGGTCCACCCTATGAGTGGGCACTGGGTGGACAAAGGGAGCCCAACCCCTGGGTTGCACTTGCTGGGAATAGAGTTTCTACATTGTGGAGCTGGTTGGGATGAAACATGCTGGTTAGTCTGTGCCAGGAGAAACTGAGGGAGCCCTCTGTCCTCAACCACCCCCACAAGGAGTAGAGCTTCCATCACACTGGGCTGGGGGGTGGGCGTTGGGGGGTTGCAGGAGGCACGGCTCAAATGCTCCAGAGTCTCACTGCTCTAAGATTTAGATTTTCTGGAATAAGTGTTTCCTCATTTGCTGTCTATTTTGGGGACAACCTTCAGAGACTCTGAATGGTTGTTTTTAAATGTCCAGCAGTTTGGTTTCTTTCTCTCGGAAGAGAGTTCTCTAATCTCCTTGTGTTGTCTTCCCAGAAGCGCCGCTCTCCCCAGGAAAACTGTACACAAACAGGGGCTAGCCCTGGGCTGTCATTTAGCACCTCTTGCTCTAGCATGATTTTGTGCCACTGAGAAAGCACGGTTACTCTGGGGATGCTGGGGAATCCTTTCTGTGGTCTTCTCCCTCTGGCCCCTCAGCCAGGAAAATGTGCCATGCCCCGTGTGTGGACACGGCCCCAGTTTTTTCTTGCTTTAGAATAATCACAGCCCTGCGCCACCTCTTTTCCAACGACTGAGTACTGTTGTCTCCTATATTCTACTTTTTTGGTTGCTTTTACTTGTATAGAGCAACACAGCGAAGACTGTTGGGTTCTGTGAAGTGATCACGTCACAGAGCAGCTGGTTATGGGGGGTGGAAAACGCCTCAGAGAAAACTGGCTGCCTCTGTTCTTTCACTAATGCTGTCATGGGCCCAGTATTCATCTGCTCCTTGGTCCTTTGGCTCCTGAGTGCAGGTAAGCCCCCCTTCTGAACTTGTCAGCCCCCAGCTCCAACGCTTTCATCCCTGCCACCAGACTCCCTCCGGGGCTAAGCCTCCATCTTCTGTCTGCTTTCTTCCCAGGCACCCTCGATGCAGAAGTCACCCAGACTCCGGGACACCTAGTCAAAGGGAAAGGACAGAAAGCAGAAATGCATTGTGTCCCGATAAAGGGACACAGGTATGTTTTCTGGTATCAGCAGATCCCAGCAAAAGAGTTCAAGTTCTTGACTTCTTTCCAGGATGACATCATCTCTGATAAAACAGGAATGCCCGAGAAGAGATTCTTAGCTGTGTGTCCCCGAAACTCACCCTGTAGCCTAGAGATCAAGTCTACAGAGCTGCAGGATTCAGCTGTGTATTTCTGTGCCAGCAGTGAATCCACAGTGTTAAATATTAGCTAATCATAATACACAAACATCCTGGGTCTGGCTCAGAAAGGAGCTGGCATACTAGGTTGGAAGGAAATAACAGAAACTAACTAGAGCTAGCTAAGCCAAATGGGAATTTATTGCAAGGCTAAACGTATGTCCCATAGAACCCCAAAAGAAGAACACAGGAATTTCTCAGGAGTGAAGTAGAATAAAGTCCTGGAACCATGACATGACTGATTTGACAGCTCTTATTTTTCCTTTTTCCACATTGTTGGCCCCCTTCTTCTCCCCATTATTATAGACTGTCCTTTCCAGGGCTTAGATCTCATAGCGAGCAGAAGGTTACAGATGAAATATCAGTCCTCCAGCCTTGTTGCAAAGGACCAACTTGACTTTCTTTCATGTAAGATCACAAATCCAGAAAACAGAGAACAATTCAGTCCTATTTTACTCAAGAACATGCTCTTGGAAAATTCAGCTTTAGCCAAGGGGATCGGGTTATTTCACACAACATGACAGCTGGAGGCCTGTCACTTTGACCTTACAGATCACAGATTTCAAAGACAGGAATTCTCCAGTTAGGGGCCAGGACACCCAGTAAGTACCCATCACAGAGGAGGAGTACCAGATACAGAGAACATAGGGAAAAAAAGAAGGAATTAGAAAGGGGACGAAGATCCTTAGTTTTTAGAACAATGTCAGACCAAGTGAAGACTGGTTAATTTCTTTTCAAGGAGTTAAATCCAGGTAATACAAAAAGCATGTTAATTTTCAGTGTGACAACTTCACACCCTACTAAGTCAGTAATTAGTTTCTATGGAGCTGAGGGAACAGACAGATTAATGTGTCCTCAGTGGAAAAATACCTGATGTGCAGACAATTGAAAACTGATGTGCATACAATTGAAAAATCCTCTGGTATGTGATCCAAATTTTAATGAGGGACAATGCATTCAATATCAATGGAAGGAAAGGAGGTATTCCTTCATTAACTCTACCTGGAGAGGTCACTGAAATTATACAGAACAGATACAGAATTCAAAATACCTCTGTTAAAATTTAATGATCCATTCTGTTTATAAAACTGTTCATTTCAGGACACCTGGGTGGCTCAGTCAGTTGAGTGTCTGACTCTTGATTTCGGCTCGGGTCATGATCTCGGGGTTGTGGGATCGAGCCCCACATTGGGTACCACACTCAGTGGGGAGTCTGCTTAGTATTCTCTCTCCTTCTGCCCCTCCCTCTGTTCTCTCTCTCTCTCTCTCTCTGAAATGAATAAATAAATCTTTTTAAAAAAAATACTTCTAAAAAGTCTGTTCATTTCTATACCACCCACCACTCAGCTTTAGAGAAGTTTATATATTCTCTCTAGTCACTTCTGCTCTTATTTCAATATAAGCTGAACCTGGTTGTCTTACCCCCAGAAGTCCAAATTTACTTCATTTCTCAGGCAAAATTTCATTCTGACCTCTTAAAACAGAAGCTCTCACCCTCCTGGTCTACCTAATGTTATGGCTGTTTATTTCAGCTTCCTTTGCCAGCACTCAAAAGTGAGTCCTCCTGAGAATCCATTTCTGTTCCTCTCTGGGTAACAATGCACAATTAGTGAACCACATTTTTGCTTTCATCACAGAGGAATTATTCCTCTGGGTGCTGTCTTCAGCTTTTTCAAGGAATATTTCCATTCTTGTGAAACTATTCTCCTAAATCTTAAAATTATAAACTTGCTGGACAAAAAGCTGTTTCTTTCTCCTCTTACTTGATCTCTTTGAAGCATTTGACAATATTGACTTTACCCTGAACCCTGGAAACTTCTCTTCCCTCGGCTTCACTCACCTCATTATCAATTAGGTTTCTTATTTCCTCTCTATTCTTTTTTGTAAATGTAGTTTCTGGAACTTAAATCTATCCACTAGTTTTCCCATTCCCAGGAAAATTCTTAGTCTTTAAATTTTAACATTCTAATGTAGTGCATTAAGTGGCCTTCTCTTTTGTTAGTTTGGCCTATTAAAAATCTCCACTCAGAAGAGATTGAAACTGTTGTCTGAAATAATTTCTTTCCTCAGTTTCACCTGAGGGACAGGTTAAACAGACATATTCTAGGACAGGATCAGAACTTCGGAGTCAGAATTTCTGGAAGTGGGTTACAGGAATACATCTAATCTTACCAAGCCCCTTGTGGGGCTTGTTCATGCTAAAGTTTGAGAACTTCTGCCAACCTTTCCAAGATCGGTAAAAGAGCGCTCTAGCGCAGTGCTCCACCATCTTCTTGTTCCTGTTATTCTCACTCATTTCCCCTTTTCCATCTCCTCTTGTGTTTTCCTTAAACTTCACTTTTCCTAAGAATGCTCAAGTGGTTTTGGAGCCTGTTTACGTCATCCATGTAACAAAATAAACATGAGGTCACACATTTGGACCAAAGGTTCCCCTTTCCTATGGAAGGTGCCCTGAGGCTGTGGGTATTCCCAGGGACTGTGGCTTCACAGCCAGATTCTACCTTGTGGGGCCAAGGGAACCCAAAACTTCCATTCCTCTCTGCATCAGAAACCACTGATGGAGAGCCTCATCCTGCCACTGATCCTGCCTTGGACACCTGGTTCCTCTGCTGGGTGACTCACTTTAACCTGGGGGCAAGTGAGCTTGGGACTGCTTGGGAATTTGTGTTGATGTTTTCTTAGGCCCACTCTCTATGGCGTCTGTCTTCTCCCACAGGACATACAGACCCTGCAATCAGCCAGATCCCCAGCCACAGGATCACCAAAGATGGGACAGAAGGGGATTCTGAGATGTGATCCAATATCCGGTTACATATTTGCTTACTGGCGCCCACAGAATCTGAGGCAGGAAATAGAGTTTCTGATTTCCTACCAAAATACTGCAGCTGAGTTGGGATGCCCAAGAAAGGGGTCTCAGCTAAAAGACCTAATGGAACATCTTCCACCCTAAGACCCATCCCGAGGAGCTGGGGGACTCAGCTGTGATCTCTGTGCTGGTGGCCTTGGCACGGTGCAGCTGAGCCAGTTCCCTCCAGTGCACAAACTCCTTTGTGCTCCTTTCCTCGCCCCTGAGCTCTAGGGAGACATTTGAAAAGGCCACTTCCCAGTCTTCTGCCTCTGAAGAAAGAAAGAAGTGGGTTGACTGATGTGGCCCCAGCTGCAAGCAGGAGAGGGCAAGACTATAAATTAGCTCTTAAATTATAGACTGGGCATGCTTTGGGACATGAGCTTCTGAAACTCCTAAAAAAAATGCAGTATTGGGTAGTCTGTGGATTCCAAGTTTAGAAATAAAGCTTCCCCCCCAAAAAAAATTTGACTACAGAGATCTGATATCTGGTATTGATATTACCTAACCAAATCTCTAAGAAATTCCTACTGATTTTACTGCAAACATGATTCCTCTGTAGACTCTTTCCCTCCACAGAGGCCAATGACTTCCTTGTTTGTGGAACAACAGATTGTTGACCACTACAGGTTTATTAGAGTCCTTTTATCACAGATCTGCCTCCTCCACAAGACTGACCATCTCTCAAGGACAGTGATTTAATGGGAATAACTGTGAGGGAACAGCAACCACAACCCTCTTGAGGGGAAGGAAGCAGGAGAAACACTGATTAGTAATCCCCACTCAGAGACTCTTTTGGGAAATTTGAGTCTCAAATCCAGGGGAGCACAGAGTTTGACTTTCTGATTTCACAAATTTCATCATTCCCTTCTCTCTCTTGAGATCTCAGATCCACAGACAGTAGAATTGGAGTCAAGATACCTGCTTCCTAATCTAAACTCTGGCTTTCTTTTTTTTAGCTGTAGGTTGTTGGCAAGAGCCTTCACCCCTTATGACTCAGAATTCTCCTCTTTAAAATTAGAAACTTGCACAACTTGCTCTCCAAGATTTGACATGAGGATGACTCAGGATATATCTCCACATTTTCCCCACACGTGGGACCACCAGGGATTGCTGTGGAAGACATGTCGCTACCATCTGGCAATAACTGAGCAAACTGTCAATGTCGATAACACAGATCCAGGGAAGATCTGGTTGGAAGGGGCAGTCTAGATCATTCCTGTGTGCCTCAGCATTGACGCAGACTTGAAACGCGGTCATGTCGAAGAAAATGGTATCTATTTCCCGCAATCTCCCCCACTGCTGCCAGATGGCAGTAAAGGAGTGCGTCAGAGAGTTGACCACGTACCACGGTCAAATGCTCTGGTTTACCATGGCAGCCCTGGTTCAGAACTGTTGTCCTGGAAAAATTATTAATAGCAAACTCTTTCACATATTAAAGAGTCCCGGTTCAGACAGTAAGCTAAGAAAGCCATTGTAGATTATAACACAAACTATAGCATCTCTCTGTTAAAAGAAAATCATTTATTAATATTGTAGTGAATTCTGTTAAAGAAAATTTTATTCAGACATTTGTTAAAATGATAAGACAAACTTCACTCAGGGGAACCGTGGCAGTGGACTACTGTTGTAGGGAGACAGATCGCGCTCAACTCCAGCTCCAAACAGGAAAAATAAGAGTTTATAGACAAGAAGCAAGGAGGGGGAGGGGAAATGGATGGACAATTACCAAGAGGTGATATTGGCGTAAGAGGGGATCCTGGGTAAACTGACCTAGCAGGACTCTTGCTGAAGGCACACCAGGATGATCAGACATCACTTGGGGGATAGTCACTGGAGGCAAGAATTTGGTCCTATATCAAGGGTACTCATATATTGAGGGTAGGAAACTCTCAGCAGGATTCTTACTAACCACCTCAGCAGGATTCTTACTAACACTGGACTCTTGAGGACTGCCCATGAATGGGACCTAACTGAAAAAGAGGAGAATGGACCCTTGAGATACAGAATGGACAAAATTTTAACACTTATCTGTTCTGAGAGGTGAGGGAGATGAAAGACATGAATATACCCTTAGATTTCAAGAATAACAAGACAGTCAACAAATCTAGGGATCAAAGATGAAAGAGAATCTTCAACAAAAGTTCATTTTAAAATTGAAGAACACTTGAGGCACCCACATGGATATTCTTTTTTTTTTTT